CCCGCCCACGTCCCAGCCCTAGCCACGCGCAGCGTGACTTCCACCTTCTTGGTCTTGAAGCCAAGAGAGAAACGAGTGCCCTGTTAGGGCAGGAGCTGCATACTCCTTCAGCTCTGGATGAGGGGGAGAAGGAAGAAGGAAGACAACAGAAGCAGGGGTGAAGGGGGTACAGAGAGACTAAGCTTTCCGTGGAGGAATTTGACCTGCAATCAACTATGTGGAGCATCGCTTTCCTGTGGGGCAGCATCCTTCTCCTGCCTAGAGCAGCTGGAATGCCTGCAATGCTGTAAGAACCTCAGCACCTTCTCGTAGCACTCTGGTCTGAGGGAGATTCTGGGGGGGGTGGCAGCATGACAGAAACAGACAAAAGTCTTATGCTGAGGACTGTTTTTCCAGAGAGAAATAATTTCTCATGTTCTCAACATTTTGCTTGGTTTTCATGTGCTGTTTCCCACACACTCCCTCTGCGACTTGTTTCTTCCTTTAGTACCTTTGATGTAGACCATATATTTCATCTAGAACTCTGGCAGAGCAGCTCTGCCAGCTTTGTGCATATGTTTTATTCTGACCTGCTGATATCTTCTGTCTCTTATTGTTTTCCAGAATATAGTTTTCTTTTGGGCTAGGCTTTTCTCCCCAGAGTCATAGGTTGGCATTATTAACTTCAGACAGCAAAGCTGAGTGCTTTTACAAACTGTGCAAACATGTAACCAAGGTGTCTGAAAGGGATGCTCTTTGTAAAGCAGTGTATTCGTGGCTGAGCATCTACTCCCACCATGCCTTTTCTCAGACCTCTATCAAGGACAATTCCCAGCACTGCTTCTCCTCATATGCTTGCTCAGGAGTACAACTCCTGTTCCAGCAGGCACTGCTGTGATACCCTGGCTTGTGAACTTACTCTTGCTTTTTGAAGGCCTTTGCTTTTGCATCCATGGCACAAGTGCAAACAGAAGCATGACTGTGCTGAAACAGTGAAAAATGCCACTGGGTTGTTGTTGCCTTCCCTCCTGTCATATGTGGTGGTGTGCACAAGTCTAGTTTTAAAATTTAAATTTCTCCAGCAGAAGTACAGCATCTTCCTCTAGGACATGTTCTGTAGGCTGACACAGTTCCCACACAAATGGTGTTCTGCTACCTGTCTGTCACTGTTACCTTCAGCATGATGCCTTGCTTTATGAAAATACCCCTTGTTTCAACAGGTTGAAGATTTGTAGATTCATGAGAAAGCAATCCAGCCTGGATCTTGGGATCCTTGAATGACAGCCTCAGAGATGCTGTCTTGTATTCTGATAGCTCAGAAGGCAAGGGCAAGGAATGAAATGTCAAAGGGGTATTAAAAATATTCCAGAGTCATTAGGAGCAAGGGAGGTATGGGAGGTTCAAGCAATGAGTTTTTAGTGCTCTTCCCATCCCTTGGTCCAAGTGGCAGGGGGAGGTGCTATGAGCCAGCTTAAGTAGGAAAATCAAAATGTTGTTGCCTTCTGTTAGCAGATCCCCTAATATTGGCAGCAGATAAGCTGCTCAAGGCAGCTTGGCAGCACCCAGGTGTGAAAGCACTCAAGGCTCCTGGCCAGCAGGACTTTGACTCCCTCTTGCCAGGGTGCTGAACTTCAGCTAAGACCTGCCAGCAGGTCACTCCCCTGCCTCCTGGAGTTCTGATCCGTCCAGGCCCTGCCCTCCTGCTGCTGCAAAACATGCTGCTGGCTGAACCTGTTCAGAGGCGGTAAGGGGGAGGAGTCAGTGATAAGAGTTTTGAAATCGGCTTGCATGTTGGCTTTTTGTTTGTCCTAGTTGCTGCAGTGCAGTAAAAGATGAAAACAAGCAAACCGTGTGAACAGTTTCTTGGCATTATCATGGGCACAGCAATGAGAGTAGCCTGGCATAAGGGAGCAAGAAAGACAGGAGTGTCAGGAGCTGTAGTGAAGGTGCTTATGAGACTGTCTGGGACATGAAGCTGAGACGCTGGCTCCCATACACATGACATTGTTTCTGGGCCCAAGAGTAGCTGATAGGACTGAAAGCAGATAACCAGCCAAGCAAACTGATGGTGATAAGTAGTGTGGTTCAGTGGACTAGCTGAAGTCTCAGAAAACCTGCAATGTAGTCGAGCTCTGCTGCTGATCCCTTGGGTGATGTGGGGTGGTCCCTTCACCTTATTTTCACTTTCAGTTTGGGAAACAATGACTTCAGTGACTTTATCTTTCTATATGTGCATGCAGCATATAGTGCATGCTCAGTGTTAATGTCTGTGGTACCTATAGATGAGAATGGTGTGATTGTGTCCCACTGGTGTCATGGCAATGGAATGAAGAGATCAGAAGTCTTACTAGGAAGTACCTATATCCCACAGTCAAAACCTGTCCTCTTAGAAAATCAGTTTCACTTTTTTTCCCCCCTATTTTAACAGAAACTATGCCGTGGCAATACCATCTCAGCTCTACTACCCCTTCTCAGAGACAATGTGTCTCCAACTCAGCAGAAAGCAAGCAGTCCCAATCCATGTGTCAGTAACCTTGCAAAGCAGAGCTGGGAATGAAACTCTGATCTCTCAGTCCGTCTCTCAGCTCACCTTCTTTCATTGCACAAGCTTCCAGGTAAGGAAGATATTTTCAGAGGTTGTCAGTAGGGTGGATATCATGTGAGTTCTGCATTTTCAGGGCAGGAAGGCAAAGAGTTGTGTCTTCCCATGAGGACATCTTAATTGGCCAGTGAATCTTCTGCGTAAGCCTGTAGAGGTCTGTCAGTGTTCTTCCTGCTGTGTAGGCCTACTAATATTTTACTCTGTGAGAAAACCTTTTTAAATGTTCTGTGAGGTCTTTCAGGGCAAGAAGAACTGGAGCAATACAAAAGTAGTATCATAATCGTTATTCCAAAAACCTCAGGATCAATGAATGGGATCCACCTTGAATGATGGTTACAACTCTATCTGCAGGTCCCTCCTCCTGTTGGAAACCCTTATGAAGTGGCTTTTATTGTTATCACAGTCCTGGAAGGCAACTCAGAGTTTCAGAAGAAACAGAAAGTCCTAATCAAGCACACAGACAAGAAGACTTTTATCCAGACTGACAAACCTGTGTACAAACCTGGACAGATTGGTATGGACAGAATGCCATGACTTGTGAGCACCCTCTAGTGCTTGGTCAAGGGAGGTGGGTTACAGACTTACCCTTCTAGGCTTTGAGGGATTTGGAAATAGCTCTCTCCTATGTCAGCATGGCACATGTTTTCTCCAGTACTAGCCATGCTCTGACAGCATGCCAGCATGAACAGGGCTTATGTGTTTTGGTTGATGTGTGAGAAAAGATTCAGATGCCACTGTGTTATATTCATGATTGCTCCAGTCAAAGCCACAATAGTCTGTCAGGCCCCTAAATCCCTCTCCCACAGACTTCCTCAGATGAAAATCACAGTCCTGCAGACCCCACCACTGCCCTAGCACAGCTCAGATCACCACAGGGCTGTTTGCCCCATGCCTCCACCCTTTCCACTAGGATGACCTTCACTGCAGGCAAGACTGAGTGGCCCACAGCAGGTCCAATGTCCAGAAAAATGCTGTTCCTCACCAGGACAGCCAGCCTTCACAGAAAATCCCACACTGCCTCTACTAACACTTTTTTCTATCAAGCTGCCAGCTCATAGAAGGGCTTTGGGCATAGGTCCAGGAGTGGATGGCTCTAGCTGCTGCCCACATCCTCTCAGTGATGCGTATGGAACATCTTTCTCAGCCATCCATTCTTGTCATTTATTATTAAGATACTTGATTTCATTTCAGCCAATCCTGTTTTTCTTGCACTTTACAGTAAAGTTGCGGATTGTAACCTTGGATCAGAACTTTATTGCCAGCAATGAAATGGTAAGTCAAGAGGAAAGGTACTTTAATAAGTCTGAAAATGCTATGGGCTGACATCATGGCTTCTGGATGAGTGCTTGGCCCGGCATGGTGATCCATCTGTGGGCAGCTAGTCTCAGTGTTGCTTTTGGTGCTCACAACACAGGAGCTGCTCATGATGTTGAGTTATGGGCAGTCCCTTGGAATTTCTTAGGGAAGACTGATAGACGGCTGGGGAATAAAAAATACCAGGGAGGTGGATGGTAACTTACCTGAAGGCATCCAACCAGTAATTCTTATCTCCTCCCACAGCAGCGCCTGGTGGAACTGAAGGTAAAGCATCTACTTTATTGAAAGCGGTGATCTCTTCTCATCTTGGGGAAGACACAGGTTTGGAGATGATGATGGGGAATTATGGTCACAGAAAGTCACTTACCTCAGAATGAATGGGAACAGTACTTGTCTTCTTGTCCTTCCTTCCTTCCTTCGGTGTCCACAAAAGTTTGGCAGTGAGGTATCATGATACCAATCACATAGGGGTCCATGCAGTAAATGATAGGTGCCAGTGAAAACCATTCCAGCAAACTTTTCTAGAGTGGTTACAGGACTTTTGGTCCCTCTAGCCTATGAACTGAAGATTTGTGAAAATTCTGAAATTTATTTAACATGCAGGAAACAAAAGTTTGACCAGTTAGTATTGTGACTACCTGAGCTGAAGAAAGATACCTGAAAGTGGTGTGGTGTTTGTAATACCCATGCAGAGATGTCACAGTTCCAACTAGCAATTGGCAGGAGCTAATGTACATTTGCATGCCACACCCTGCAAGCAATCAATACATAAACACATGGTTTCTGAGAAATCTAATCAATACTTTATGCCAGTTTATACAAACATGGCACTCTGAGCCAGCTTCTCCTTTTCAAACAACTGTTGCCACTTGTTCCATACGAAACACCGATCAACGAATTACTAAGTCCTTCCAGGCTGGGCAGTGTGACTGTAGCCAAAGTTCTGTATCCTGCCCTCCCAAGAACCAACACTGGGAGGATGCTGTCCTTCATGACTGCGCCTCAGTGGTCCCCTGCATGAAGTCCTGGACTCATAGCCTCAGCCTTTCCAGGGGATTCAAGACATCAAATTCCCCTGAAATCACTCATGCCTTAAGGCAACATGTGTCTCCACAGTGACCTGGAGGCTCTGCCAGCTCAGATCACCAGAGAGGTCTCTAAGAAGGACCACCTCTTAGTGAGACAGGTAGGCAGTAAACCACAGTTGTGCAGCAGTCAGTGAGATGGCAGTGCCACCAGAGAACAATAATATGATAGATTGATTTTGTCAATGAGACAGAGAGAAAAGTCCTTTCCTTTTCAAGCTCAAACTTACCCAAGCACTGTAGCTGTGTTCACAGACCTGGGCTCTCAGGTCAAGAGAATGTGCAGTCAGACTATGCTGTGGTAGCTTGGACATCCTGTAAAAGACTCTCTTTTTCTACTGGAGAGGAACTACTCTCTTCTACTGCCTATGCAGGACCCCAAAGGGAACCGAATTGCACAGTGGCTGACTGTTAAACCTGTGGGAGGTATTGTGGATCTGTCCTTCCCTCTGGCTGCAGAAGCACCGGTTGGAGAGTACACCATCAAAATGCCTGACCGCACACACACCTTCAGGGTAGAGGAGTATGGTAAGAGTCTCAGGAAGCTGATGGCATTAGAGAAGGTTGTATTGCCCCCAGCCCCCTTCTCTCACTCAGAGGTGAATTGGCCATGCAGCTGTGAGCAGCTGCACAAGTTATGCTATCACCTGAGATGTCCAACATCCTGCCAATAGGTGTAATCACTGACTTTCACTCAGGTCCACTGGCTTTCCCCTCGCTGATGTCCTGAGAATGGACTGAGGCAGTATCCCATAGCTTTGCTTTGGGGAGGAGAGTAAGGCTCTCTACTCCTATCACATTTTCCTGGCTGGGCTGCTGGTACATTCCTACCAGGCCCTGTGCAGGCAGTCAGGGTATGCAAAGAGAGATTTCTGTAAACAATCACTTAGGAAGGATTGGAACAAATGATCTTTCTCTATTCTCACTGAAATACATTTCTCTTGCTTTCACACAGTGCTGCCCAAGTTCAGCGTCTCCATCCAGATGCCTCAGGTGGTCACCATCTTGGAGGAAAACTTCCCTCTCCAAGTCTGTGGCATGTGAGCTGACATATCATGGCAGAAGGTGCATTCTTACTAGTTTGGAAACTGCACAGCCATCAATAACTGAGCTCAAAATGGTCTCTGACAACCCTACCCCCACCCAAAATCTGGTTCCCTGGCATCCTTTGCTAAATAATTCTCATGGACTCTCACCTTTCTTCATATTCTCTCTCCCTACTTCTTTCTCTGTGAATATGAAAGGTGGCAGTGGATTCCCTCAGCAGAGCATGTGCACTACAATACAGTATCTCTGCTGCATTTATTAGTGACAGTGTGGAAGGAATAATGGCTCAACTTGTGGCAGCACAAGGTCCCCTAGCCCTGCCTGGTGGGACTGGTGTTGGCTTGGAGAGAACCTCTCAGCCTGATGAAGTCACTTTTACTTGTTGGCCTCTGCTGAGCTCATGAACCATAAAGATACTGCAGGTGTCTGGGTTGTATAGCTGCAAACCACAGGCTAAAGTTGATATTATTTGCTCTTGAGACAGTGTTTCTGTATGTGAGTGTAAGTCCTCTATGCTCTGTTTGCCAGGTACACATATGGGAAACCAGTCCATGGTAGCGTGAAGGCTGTGGTGTGTCGTAAACATATCCACTATAATCGGAAGTCTTCCAAAGCCAAGCGCAGCATTTGTAAGGAATACACTGGTGAGGTGAGCACATGGGACATCCACTCCTCTTGCAAAAGAGAGGAACCAGGGCAAGGAATACTAAAGGAAGGAGTGGGATAGATACCAGCTATTGAAGCAGCATGCCCTTTGCTCAGGGATGAATGACTGATACATCCTTAACTCCACAGTGTAGCAATCTTAGCCCCTCTCAGTGATTTCTCTAACTGCACTTAGATACACTCAAAGGAAGAAGCAGCTGCAGGCCAGCTAACTTGCAGATTTGTCTACAAAACAGGTATTGAAACAGGGCAATAAAAAATGCAAACACTGTTCACATCAATTCACTTCCACTGGATGCATTTTAGCACCACTTTTTAATCTAGTGTTAACACCTATGTGCTGTATCCCAGAAACAAGTTTTTTGGAGAGTCAGAAATTACCTCTTGCATCTAAGCAAGCAATTGCACTTCATCACAGATTTTATGCATTCATGTCTAGGGTTGAATGGAAGTATCTATATTTGTTGAAGTATTTATAAGTAACCAAGCACATATCTTAAAGATAAATCCTGCACTGACTGAAGAAATTGTGTTGTCAGGGAGAAATGACAACTCATGTTTGCTACTGGCGCATGGCAGAGTATGTAAGGATGACATACATGTGGAACAGCATCTCCTATTAGTGATTGTCTTACAGAAAACAAGTATGTTTCATGCCAGTATAGGGGTTGTTCCTTTAATTCAAGTGTCTTAGTCATATAATTTTAGATTTCTAGCCCTTGGGTTTGATCTGTGCTGCAGAAGGGATTAGTGCATTCATGATTGATTAACAAATACAATTTCATATTCCCAGACAAACAAGGATGGCTGCTTTGCCACTGAGGTGAATATTAAGATTTACCACCGGAAGCATGGTGACAATTATGATTTCAACCTGGAAGCTGTGGCTTTTCTGAAAGAAAGTGGAACAGGTAGAAAAAAACTGATTCTACTCTTTGTGGAAAATCTATTACTTTCCAGTCATACAACATTCTTGTCTTTGGGTTTTTATCTGTAAGAACCATTATGGATTCTTTTGTCTTCCCATAAAACCACTAGAGCTTTCTGCACTGGCTTCCATGAGGTCAAATGTCCAGAGGGTTGGGAGTACCATGACAACCTGAGTGTTTTTGTGTATCATATCACCCAGGTCTGACTCAGGATATGTGAGTTCTCCCAGTTGCAGGATGGGCTTTACCAGTATGCTTGCTCCTCCACAAGCTGCTGACAGTCCAGATCTGGCAGTCACCTTGGTTCAACAGACTTGGGCAAGAGCTGCTTTTTCTTGACTTCTTATCACATCAGAAATGAGCGCAGAGGTGGGCCAGGCCGGGTCCTTCTGTTCTTGGACCATACTTTAGGATAGTCCTTTGGAATGAGGAGTTATTCAGAGCAACCAGGGATAGCCAAGGCCCTGACTGTGTACTGTTATTAGCTCCTCATTAGATTTATCTCCACATCCCAGATAAGGAGATAAGGTTTCCTGTAAAGTTCCCTCTCTCACAAAATTTTACTAAGCCTTCCTTATAAGAAAATGCTTTGCAGCCCCATGCAGAAAGCAGTGACACATTCACTTAACAAACAGCTGCAGTGGTTTCAAATGGGCACCACATGGCAAGACAGCAGACTGCAAACTTACGTGGTGAAGGGAAGGAAAAATATTGCCTTCTAGTGACTCTGCTGTGAGAAGAGAAGGAGAATGGAAGATGACAATTATGAGTGGGACCATCTTAAATAAAGTGGAAAGGGGCATTTGAAAAGTCTCTGGCAGAGACCTTCTGGTAGACTGCTGTCATTCTAGCAGGTCAGAATGTAGGAGGCACTGTTGCTCTGTGTGTGTATGTGTGTGTGTGTGTGTGTGTGTGTGTGTGTATGCATGCACGCACACGTGTTAAATGACTCCTGAAGTTACATGGAGGAAGTACAATCCCCTGTGACTGATAGTCTGTCCCTTACCTCAGTTCATCCAATCTTGATGCCTTTGCTTGGACACATGATATTCACCTGCATGTACCTCCGGTCTTTCCCAGGGGTGGAGTTCAACACCACTGAATACTGCAAGGTCACTTTTTATATTGGAACTCTCCAGTTCTGGGGGACAAGCTACTATTATCAGCAAGGAGCTCCCTACTATGGAAATGTAAGTGAAAAGGGAAGAAACATGGAAAGCCCAGCAGCTGGGCCTAAGTAGATTGTGGGCATAGAAGTACTGAGGGGTTTCCTTGTTCTGAGCTGCCCAAAGCTGATAGTGCAATCCTCTATCCCAGTGTCTCCTTTAACATATCTACCAGAGGTTACGCAAAGGTATGACCACGGGATATGTGGCTTTGCCAGATGAGATAGCTGCTGCATAAATGGGGAGGAGTCAGAGAAGTTAAATTTCACACTGATAGTTCCTTTGCAGAGGGAGGAACCAGTAATTTTACTGGGGAGTGGATTTTCAATCCTGAGGTCTCCAATTCTCTGACTGTTCTCTGCATCATTACAGCTGGAACTCAAAACTATCAATGGGACACACCTGAAGAACAAGAAGGTGATTCTTAGTGTATCCTATGGTAGCAGGAAGCAGACCAAGACCTACTTCACAGATGACAATGGGGTGGCCGCTTTCATCTTAGAGACGTCAGCCTGGGACAACAGCAGTAGAGTTCTGCTTCAGGTTAGGCCCAGTAATTACACTGGACTCGGCTCGCACTGAACAATGCATCCTTCAGACCTACAGTCTGTCATTGTCTTGATATAGCCAGGGAGACGAAGATCTAGGGCAAGAGGAATTGTTCATAGCAGAGCCAGTGTTCTGGCCCCTAGTGCAATACACCATCCCTGAGCAGTCAGGAGACAGGATGAGAGATGGGGCAATGGACAAAAACTCCATGAAATTGTGACTGAGGTCTACCTATATAGCATCTCTGTCTGAGATGGAAAGGATTTTTTGGGACTGGGCAGGGACAAAAAGCAAAGAAAGAACTCCCACCTGGTGTGGAACAGGAAGATAGGAAAGGAACTAGGGAAGAACAATCTGAAAATACATGTGGAGAAGAAAATGTACATGATCAGTATTGTTTCCTGCTAGCATAAAAGTTAGGAGAAACATGGAGTATAAGAGGTGGAAAACTTAGGAGAGAAAGAAGGAAGGCTAGTTAGGAAGCAGTTGCTGCAAACCAATCTGGAGTTAAGCAAGTAACCAGAAAGTAAGGAGTTAAATAGGGATGCCACCAGCAGGGAATTGTCAAAGATAAATTTGCAGCTGTTTTCCCATGAACAAGGAAATCTCTCTTGTCTGGTTGTCGGGCTAGGCTTCTAATGCAGGTCCTGTCCATCTTCAAGGTCAAAGCACTTCAAGGCAAGCCCTGTCTCTGATATTATCAGAGATATCTTAGATGGTGGATCTTGATGCTGTAAGTCCACAAGATGTTAATATTACAGTGTCAGTACAGATAGATTCTAAGTCAAAGATGAGCAAGGCTATTGATATTCAGTTGTCCCCTGCCACCTCTACCTTACGGATTAGAGAAAATGCTGAGGGAAATAAAAGTGTTTGAGTGGAACAGCACTGAACGGTGAAATACATTATCAGGGCAGATCCATGCTGATAATTTACCCACAAGTACCAGACAGAAGCAAAGGGTTTAGTGGTTTGATACAGGGACTAAGAAGCCACTATACACAGTCTAACAATCTGACTTGCTCCCAGGGTACCAGCAACACTGCAGAAGTTCATGCTCCAGCCAAACCCCTAGTGTATACAGCTCCCTGCCTCATGTTTAGCTGCTAGTTATTTTAGGGTGTGGTTGGAACAGACAATGTCAAGTTCCACAGATAGAGGCTGATGGAACTTTGCTTTAGTGGAAATAGATACCTTACCCTTGGAGAGTTCAGAGCCCACTGTCCAGTCAGTCTTGATTTTAGCATGGGGAGACCTGCAAGAAATCTTCAGACACTTTTTCTGTTCTACAGGCAAAGGCTCAGCCAGAGGACTTAAGCAGTCGAAATGTGAAGGTGTCTTATGGCACTGCATCACTCACGCTGAGAGCCTTCTACTCTTCCAGCCGCAGCTCTGTGAGGATCCAGCCAGTGCAGGCAATGCCACCCTGCGGGGATGTGCAGCAGGTCACTGTGCACTATAGCATATTAGCCACAGAGCTGGGGGACAGGGCTACCACAGCAGACTTCTACCACCTGGTGAGTGCAGGGCAGCAGCAGCAAGGGTCTGTGTCAGCACAGGGCCCTTAGCTGGCCCAGAAACAAGGAGCAGAGGCACTCTCAGGCCTTTGTTCTGTTTATTACCCTTAGGTTTTGGCCAGAGGATCCCTTGTGTATCATGGACAAACAACAGTACTTCTTGATCCACCATTAGGTAAGAGCGTCTCAAATACCAGAAGCAGATTAAGGACTCAACAGGAAAGTCCTTCCAGCCTAAATGGAGAAGGAAAGAAAAGATGTCTGAGACCAGCAGAGAACCACAGAGCTAGAACAAAAAAAAATCAAGAGGAAATGGCAAATATGCTATTCCTTTTCTGTCCTTTAATTTCCCTCTTTTTTTTTTTCCTTGAGCAAATGATGAAATTGTCAGAGTTCATTTGCCAAGAAGGAAATTATCAGAGACCTCCGAGATAACTTATGGAATCTCTTTTCTGGATTCAAGGGGAAAGCCATTTCTCTTCCAAGTGCTCATTCTTGCCAAGATCTCTTGTGATGTAAGGCCACTGCTACGAAATGGCACTAACCTACATCCTGGTCTTCCACCAGAAGCAAAGCGGAATAGTTTTTATCAAAGTAACTTTACAGAAGTGTTACAGAGGATGAGCATGTTGCCAGTGTAATCCTTGGTCACAGATGTCCTTGATTCTCCCTATACTTTTTTTCCTTCTTCCTTCAGGTCAGTATAGTGGGGCTTTCATTGTCACTCTGCCCATTGACCTGATTTCACCCATGGCTACCCTCTTTGTTTACATTGGCTTCCCTGAGGGACAAGTGGCAGCTGATACCTTCCGTCTGAAAGTCTCCAAGTGTTTCAGGAACCATGTAAGTAGTGTATGAAACATAAAGGGCCAGGTAGGCTGGACAGTAGAAAATTAACTGCAAATTGGCAATAGATGCCCAGTAGAATCCAGTCGTCAGTCTCCCCTTTTCTTCACTTGTCAGTATTTTCAGTCCCTCTTTCTTCTCCTGTTTCAGGTGAAGCTTGGCTTCTCAGACACAGTGGCTCTCCCAGGATCAGCTGTCCATCTCCATTTGCAGGCTGCACCAGGCTCCTTATGTAGCATCCGTGCTGTTGACCAAGGCATCCTTCTCCTGAGGCCAGAGGCTGAACTATCCAGGGATAGTGTGAGTCATTTTAGTGCTGAGCCTTGCTAATATTGGAGATACATCTTTTGAGTATCTTGTTGCGGGAACTGCTTAACAAGGCACAGTGGACATACCAGCAAGTACTTGCATGGGGACAGGGCATGGCTTAATGAGGAAAAATTAAGGCAAACATCAAACACCAGTCAAAATTTCCAGTCTCGACAGAATCTAATAGAATAACCCACTGTCATTCCCAAGTACAGCCCAAAGTCACATCCTTGTTAAATTTACAGTGCTTTGCCACAGTGGCAACCAGAAGGCAAGAGACTTCCATCTCCTAAACCAATTCATGACAGTGCTCTGAAAAAACAGAATTATGTGATAGACTCCATGTCTTTGTTTGATCTTACATGAACCAGACAGTTCTTCCATTCACAGACTGGACTGTAAGTGGTGCTCTGGCAGTGGAAGGTTCCCATTTCTCCTATAGACCTGGCACTAAGGACACTGGATCTGCCTCTTGACACTGTCTTGGTGAATCCAGGAGACATTAGTCAGACAAGAAACTGTCTAATGACTCATACAAGGAAGGTGTCCTCACTGTATGCATTGAGTTCACAGGTTCAACCTGTGAGCAAGAAGTGGCCACAGCTATACAGCCATACCCCAGAGGGGTTCATGTAATCTCTGATGCTATATATCTAAAATTTGTGGAGGAAAAAATCATGAAAATTCAAAACCCCTTGTGGCTGTTTTTTTGTGCAGGCAAGATCCAAGCTCTGCCTCTGAGGTCACAGAAAATCTCTGGATAGAAATTAAAATCTTCCCACCTCTCATACTGACCTGTCCTGTTTTCACTTTCTGTCTACAGGTGTATAATATGTTTAGCTATTCTCAGGAGCACCCCAGCGTTCTCACAGACTTCTACAGTGACTACTGTACTATTCACAAGAGTCCAGGAATCATCAGTTCTTCTGAGACTACCCTTCCACCAGGGACAATATCACCATCCGTGTACAACTCCTATGCAGTGTCCCAGCCAGATGTTTATGAACTTCTGAAGGTAAATCTAATTTCCATAAAACCTGAAATATATGAGAGCTGAGCCCTTTTGTATCCCAGGTCAGCACTGGTTAGCTTCACAGATTGTCTTTCCTGTAAATGCCGGTGTCTTCAGGTTCTGAATTTGCCAAGCTTCTGAACTAAGAGATCTCTGACGCTCCATGCTCCCAGCTTGATAAATTCCCACTGATCAGGTAGATTCCTAGAACCCAGGTCCCCTTTAGTCCCAAGGTCAAGACCCTTAGACTTTCTAGGGGTTGGAAGGAGAGTGGAGTGTCAGCCTGTGTCAGAGATAATTGGAGATTGGAAAAGCAAAGCACCTAAGAGGAAAGTCGTACCAGGGAAAGGAGGAAAAGAATAGTAGAAAGAAATAGCAGGTGAAAGATGAGAACAAGACTGGATTAAGGTTGGCAGAAACTGTGTTGCCAAAATAATGACTTTGTGTACAGGCATGCTGTCGTGGTTTAACCCTAGCCACTGGCCAAGCCCCATGCAGCCACTCACTCCCCCATCAGTGGGACTGGGGAGAGAATCAGGAGGGTAAAAGCTAGAAAACTCATGGGTTGAGGTTAAGACAGTTTAATAGGGAAAGCAAAAGCCATGCACATAAGCAAAGTAAAACAAGGAATTAATTCGCCACTTCCCAAGGGCAGGCAGGTGTTTGGCCATCTCTAGGAGAGCAGGGCCCCATCACACATAACAGTTTCTTGGAAAGACAAACACCATCACTCTAAATGTCCCACCCTTCCTCCTTCCTCCCACATCTCTTCATTATTAACCCTGTGTTCAGCACAAATCCAAAACGTAGCCCCATACTAGTCACTGTGAAGAAAGTTAACTCTCCCCCAGCCAAAACCAGCACACATGCACATGTGAGTGGTCACCTCCACAATCCTTTGGCATGAGGGGCCAGGACTGGGCTTTGCAAGCAGGGCAGCTCTGCATTCTGTCCCTGTAAAAATTCACAGGTTGGGCTGAAGTGTGACAACACAGGGTGGCTGATATTCTGGGAGGTGGAGGCAGAGACAGACCCTCAGACACCTTCCCCTCCCAAAATCTACCGTCTTTTCTTGCCCTTCTGTCTTCCAGAATTCAGGTCTAACATTTTTAACCAGTCTTAAAATCAAGTCTCCAATTGAGTGCCGCACCCAGACCACTGTCTACTACGACTACATGTGTACATCTTGATTTTTCCTGTTTCTTTGGAAATCACGGGTAACATACAGGCTGCACATGGGCAGCTGAACATGCAGTGTGCTTAGGAACTGGGAATGGCTTCTGGAGATGAGTGGGTGGTTGCGCAGGAGATGGGCACCATAGGAAGAGAGGAAAGATCCTGGTGTGTGAGTCCAGTGCACTGGAGGGGTGGAGGGGTGGCTGCATAGGAAGAACCTGCTTGGAAGATTCTGATGTCAGGCAAGAAGATAATGTGGTCAAGGGGGAAAATAAGGCAGCTCTCTCAGGAAGGAAAATCTGTTTGTAAGACTAGGAAAGGACTTGCTGGAAATTAGAGAATGAGCCAAGATTGGCACTGGACAGTATTTCAGCTTTTCTGAAGGGGCTGAGAGCAAAAGTGTGAGAAGGTACAATTTCTCATGGGGGAGCACACACATACTGGAATCCACCTGGTCTCCTGGGTTGTTTCATGGAAGACAACAGTGAATTAGGTTGAGGACATCTTGTAGAGGACAAGGGAGATTGGAGTGGGAGTGGGAGGGATGGAGAACTGAGCTTTTCTCAGCTGATTTCTACCCTGATTTCAGTGTTGCTCTGCCTTTGAATGAATGCTTGTATTCCCAATAGCTTATGACGAGCGGGCAGAACTGGACAACTCGGACCCAGAAACAGATGCTGCTGTTGAACGTGCTGAGTCAGAGCACACTGAACTGGGTAGTGAGTCAGGGCCAGTACGTGCCTGGTTTCCAGAGACATTCATCTGGACTCTTGTTCCCATCAAGTGAGTAATTATGGACTGTGGCCCCACATGTATCCAGACCTTCTACCAGCCACAGTATAGAGGGAATGGGCAGGAGCAGATCCAGAGACTTATTGCTTTCTGTGCACAAAAAAAAAAAAAAATAAAAAAAAAAAAGGGGAGACGTGATAAAGAGGATAAGGACAATGTAGGTTTGGTTCAGTTCCTGTGCTCTTAGGAATTTAACATCACAGATTCCTATAGAATGAAAGAGGCCCCCAAAGGTCAGTAGCTCAGCATCCTACACAGGGCAGGTCCAGTTAGATCAAGCTGTTTTCTGTATTTCCAAGAATGAGATTCCACAAACTATCTGGGTGCCTTCTCCAATATTTGACTGTTCTCATGGGGTTTTTTTAAAATCTCAAGTCAGAATTTGTCATGCTCCAACTTATGTCTGTTACCTTTTATCCTATCAATAGGCACCTCAGAAAAGACAGGTTCCATTTCTCTACACCTGAGCTGAAAGATGTTCCTCTAACCTTTCCCTCCAAAGTATGAAAACTCCAGTTCCTTCAGCCATTCCTTGTACATCAAATGTCCCAGCCCTCTTAGTAGTCCTCTACTGGATGCATTCAATTATGTCAGTATCTTTTGTATAATGGAAGGCAAAAATGGGACACAGTGCACCAGATATGGTCCCATAATGGAAGAATACAGGGAAAAATAACTTTTCTCATTGGCTGCAGGCCTCTTAATACAGTCCAGAAGTAGATGGCTGTCATTGCTGTAAGGGCACATGAAATGTCTCATGGTCAACTTGGTATTCACCGCACCTGTTTTTCTGTACAATTGCTTACAAGCCAGACATTGCCTACCCTGTACTGTTTCATTGTAGTATTCCATCCCAGATACAGAATTTATCCATTTTCAAGCCCATTTTTCCAGCTTGTCAAGGTTCCTCTTAATAGCAGCTTTTCCTCCAGATATTCCTTCAGCATATCAGGAGCCACTCCCTAACAAGGTATAGTCTGTTAATAGATAGTAAGATTAGTCTGTCAATCTTGCTGAGAATATCCTCTCTCCTATTATCCAGGTCATTAATAAAGCTGTTAATGCCCCAAAATGTCAGTCCCTGAGGGATACCATGAGTAAACAGCCACCGGTTGGACTTTGTATCATGAATAATCATCCTTTGTCCCCAGTGGTCCAGTGAATTTTCTGATTACCATATCGTCCACTTGTCCAGTTCACACTAATGTGCCTAAAAGAATATTACAGAACACTGTGTCCAAGGCCTTGAGAAAGTCAAGTTAAGCAGCATTCACTGTTCTCCCCATATTTACACATCTCCTCTGTCTTAATTCTCCCACATGTCCATGCACTCCATCTGTGAAAAATGGATCTCTGTCTCTCTACCTCGTTTCACTGGATTATGGTCTTTCAGGGCAGGGACCATCTTCTGGTTTTTTTATGTAGTTCTGTGAGTAACACTCATCATGACTGTTGAGCTGTGGTTGGGGGTTTTGGTGATGGTGTGGTGAAAGTGTCACATGTACTCCATGGCACAGGCCGAGTGTATAACTAGGACTCCTGGGAGTCCTATGTGCCCACACAAAACAAGAATTTGAAGTGCAAGACTTCCCAGAAGCGAATTTTGGGTTGCATTGTCCTCTCAGTCCTTCCTTGCCCACCTATTTACTATCCTTCTGTGAGGGACCTAAAAATGAACTGTTTTGTCTGTCCTGTTTCCTAGGAATCCCCACACCTTCACACACACTTCCATTTCATAGTCTGAATTCCTGCATTTGTTTTCCCAAAAGAAATCTTTACAGGGTGGGGACAACCCATTCCATTCTGTTTTCTCCACAGTGATTCAGGGGCTGCTGAGCTGAGTGTCACAGTGCCTGACACTATCACAGACTGGAGAGCCATGACCTTCTGCACGTCAGAGAGCCATGGGTTGGGCATCTCAGAGACCACAAGCCTGCGAAGCTTCAAGCCCTTCTTCGTGGAACCCATTTTGCCCCATTCTGTTTTCCGTGGAGAGTCATTTCCCCTGAAAGTCAAAGTCTTCAGCTACCTGAAGGAGTGCATGACGGTGAGTAGCTCCCTCCAGGGTGATTTTTGGGCAGGGAGATACATGGTAACTATTTCACTGATAGAGACCTGCTTAAGGGGCTGCCTCCTGTGTCATTGGACAAAAGACACCAAAGAAGCTGTTCATAAAGCTCCACATAGAGCCATTTCTGTCCAGTTTATCTCTTCCCATAAGCTGAACCCTACATGATTGTGATGTCCATGAGGCACTGCTGATGTCCCACAGATATTGTAACAGAGCCACCATCATACTCACCCTTGGCTCCTGGAATTGACTGTCATTTGGATCAAGGAGCTGGAACAACAAATGCAGCAGCAGCTCTGTAACCTGAACTCCCTTTTGTTTCACTTCCAGCTTCAACTTAGCCTAATGGACTCCAAGGATTTTGAATTTGTGCATGCAAATGTCCAGTTCACTACTTGTCTGTGTCCTGATTCAGCAAAAACATTTTTTTGGGATGTGAAGGCTACAAAATTAGGTAAGAGGACAAGGGAGGGGCAGGAATAGGAGGCACTGGCAGAACTGCTTGAGGAAACCAAAGCTGGGCTGGAAGGGAGATTGGCCTATTATGCTAAGCATGAGTTAGCAGCCTTAGGCTGAGCAAACTGAAATGTAGGCATGGATGTGTCAACTGGCCTCTTAATGGTTTTTTTCTTTAGGGAAGGTGAATTTCACTGTCACTGCTGAGGCAATAGACCAGGAAGATGTTTGCATTGAGAGTACAGCCGTTGTGCCGGAGTCTGGAGGGAAGGACACAGTGGTTAAACACATGCCGGTGAAGGTCAGAGTATGCTTCAGGGTTCTGGTGAGGTCAGAACTGGGTCAGGCTCAAAACACCCTGGTGGGTTGCTCTGGGAAGGAAGAGTCAGCTGGATGGGTAGGCACACTTCTCAGGGAGGCTGGTCAAGGAGTGATTCTAAGGGTAGGTTGAGTAGGAGCATGAGCTTCTCCACTCAGTGGGACAGAGATGTCAGAACTGTTTGCTAGCAGGTCAGTGGGGTCAAAAGTCATGTAACAGCTTACAAATCTTCTTCCCAGTAAAACTTCACAGTGGGCATGCATATCCTTGCTGTCTGTGTGAGGCCCTGCAGAGGCCCTGCCCATGAGGATGGAAAAGGTGCCTGCAGGAAGATGGGGTGCTGCGCAGCTGCTATCTCATTTTACTGCCCTCCATTGTAAGCTGACCAGCCTTTTCCCCACAGGCAGAGGGGCTGCTGGAGGAAAAGACTCACACCTCACTCCTGTGCTCTGAAGGTAGGTGCAGACACCCCAGAGACAGGGACTGTCTTACCACTGGGGCTGTGCACGTGCACAGACCAAGGAGATAAGACAGATGCAGTGCAGCATCTAAACAACTCTAGGACTATCTGGAGGTGTGTAGGAAGCAGAAAGCCAGGGATTTCAGAGATTTTATGGGTAGGCAAAGCCATTCAGCCATACCCAGTACTAAAAGCTTCTGGCAGCACCAAGCCATAGTCTAACCACATCACAGTCCTTCATCAGCAGGTGGTCTGATCTCCATGTCATCCTCTCTTTTGAGTGCTGATTTCACCACCTGATGAGTTGATCCCAGCCTTGTTTGCATCATCTCCTGGGGGATGCTTGTGACTGCCATCTCCCTCGTGCCTGTAGTTGCTCTGATGTTTTTGCCATTTGCAGGAGCTTCAGCTTCAGAGACAATCACTTTCGCTATGCCAGAGAACATGGTCCTTGGGTCGGAGAGAGCTCACATCTCTTTCCTAGGTGAGTTTTAGGGGGTCTTGGACAGTAATATTTTTCCCTGAAGGAGAGTTCTCTTATGGTGCCAGTGTATCTGCTTTAGAGGAGTAATAAGAGTGAATGTATACAACAAGGTGTGATGTCTTCCAGAAAAACATCCCATCTCTCTTATACAAGTGACTCTGGGCCAGATGGATATATACTTTCACCTAGTCAAGGGAAAGATAGACAAGTAATATATCACTATTCCTACAGTCTATAGACATTAACATCACCCTAGCTTGAGCAGAGGTGAACTGAGACCAGTCTTAGCAGGTGATCTGGAGAATTGGTAAGGCCAGAATTGTTTTACATGCAAGAATATGTATAGCTCCCAAAGCTGTGGTTCTGTCCTGCAGGTGACATTTTGGGGACAGCACTGGACAACATAGGTGAGCTCCTCCAGATGTCCAGTGGCTGTGGTGAGCAGAACATGGTTCATTTTGCCCCAAATGTCTTTATCACAAAATACCTTGAAGAAACAGGACAACTGACTCCAGAAATCAAACAGAAGGCAATTGGCTATCTGGAAAGAGGTGAGTGGATTTCTGCTCATGATGGACTATTAAGCTGGTGATGTCTGCTACTGCACTGGCTCAGGCTTGGTGCTGAACAGGACTTGTGCAGCATCCCTTGCCTGAGACCATGGTGATTTCAGCAGTGTAAATCAGGCAACTGTGTTTCAGCTGAACAAGGGGTACACAGCACCCCCTGCTAAATTTGTTAGAGATAATGCTCTCTATAATGATCAGCAGGGTTGGTGGGGCAGGTTGTCTCCTTGAGAACATGATGGACATAGGGCACCCTCACTACCCCCAGCCTCTTCTTGCAGGATATCAGCAGCAACTCCTGTATAAGCACACAGACGGTTCATACAGTGCCTTTGGGGAAGGAAGTGAGACAGGGAACACATGGTAAGCATAGATATCCAGACGTAACTGAGGAACAACAGCTTGACTTGGTCAGGCTCAAGGTGGCTTGGATTTTTTGTCTGGGGAAACTGAAGCAGTCTGAAGTTTTGAACAAAAATTGCTCCTGAGATTTTTGGAAGAGAGCTGTGCCAATGAGCTAACTTGAAGTACCCCTCTTGAATTGTTTGTGCTTGGGCACACCAAATGAGGCTGATCCTGAAAACTTGGCTGCAAAGACACCTTCTTTCCAGTTTTTTCAGAATGCTTTGTGCCCAAACAGGATTGGGAATGGGTCTGAGTGAGCTCACTAAACGTCAGCCCTCTGGGGCAACAGTGCACCCTTTTGGAATTAGCAGAGCTCTGAGGGAAGCACTGAACTGTGCTTGCCTCTGACAAACTGAATTTTTACTTTCTTGCTGCAAACGGATCTGAGCTTGAGCTTCAAGAGCATCTAACTCATGTGCATTGCTTCCAGTTCTCCACAGAGACTCTGGCCTGCTGGTATTTCTACAGGGATTCTCTTGCTGGAGATGGGCATCAGTGACTGGTTCATTTCTATTTTCTTCTTCCTTCCTTGGCTCTAGGCTTACTGCCCTTGTCCTGAAGACCTTTAGCCAAGCCCGGGACTTCATCCACATAGATGAACAAAATATAAAGGACGCTGCCAGTGCCCTGATTAAAAGTCAGACTCCATCTGGCTGCTTCAAGAGTGTGGGGAAGCTCTTCAACAACGGTCTGATGGTATGAAATGTCCTCGCAGTTCATTAGGCACCTCAGAGCTCCTTCACTTTCTGGCCCAGTTTGAGTGTCAAGAACAAAGGAACCCTACTGCAGGAGGGAGGCTCTGAAGTGCCCAAGGTCATCCTTGGGTGACCCTCAGGGTTGCTTACTCACAATGGCACTTTTTCCAGTTATGAATGATAGAGGTTTGCATTTGATGATACACACATGAAAACTGAACCAGTGCCCTGCCTTGCCTTCATCTGAAAAGCTAACACATGCCACCTTGCAGGGGCTTGTGGGAGCATCACTTTCCCCTGGCACTGAAATCTGCTACTGAACATCTTATGCTGGGGAGGGAAAAGAGGAATGTGTTCAGCAGAGGGAGGGAATCAGCTACCCAGAGGAGCTTGGGGAACTCTGGCTGAGAAGTGCTCTGGTAAGCAGGCCCTGCAAGAGTAGATGCCAGTCCTGGAACTCCCTCAGGAGAAGGAATAGGTGCAGCACTGTTGCCTGTGATGGCTTTTTGTAGGGGTACAGAAGGCACTGGAAAACAGACCTTCTCCCTTCTCATGGGATCCCTCCTCTTCTCTGTTTTGTGGTGGCTGCAGGGCGCAGTGGAGGAAGGACTGGGGCTGAGCTCTGTGATTGTCACAGCTCTCATACACTCGGGGATGCCACACTCTGTGAGTATCAGCAGTGGGGACAGGCTGTGTGTGCAGCCTCTTGGCAGGCAGTGCATGGGGGCTCTGCCTTTGTGTGCATGGGGGTATGTCACCACTGTTCTCCCCATGTGTCCTGTTCCTGTTTCCACCCTCCTCTGCACAGGTCAAAGCTGCATTCCCTTCCCAAACACCTTGCCTTTAGTGAAGATGCCATTAGTGAAGCCTCTGCCAGCAACCCGTGTGCTTTAAATTGTATCCTAGGACCCAGTTGTGTGGAAAGCTTTGAAATGTATACAAGACCTGGTCAATGCTGATACTGGCAGTTCCAGCCTCTACAGCCTGGCACTAGCTGCAAATGCCTTTGCAGTAGCAGGTGATAAGGCCCTCAGGCAGAAAATCCTCAAAAGATTGGATAAAGCCGCCATAATATCAGGTACCAAAGACCGTGGGACAGGAGAGAGGGCCATTGGCAGAATTGTGTGGAGATCCCTGAGTTGAACAACCAGGGGAATGGAGGGCAGGAGTGGGGGGCACTGACAGAACTTCATGGGGAGTCCAAAGCTTGGATAGCCCGTATTTGCCAAGCTGTCACAGGTTATATCCACACTGTGGGACAGACTGTCTCTATGGATGATCTCACAGTCCTGTCCTCCCAATCATCCAAACCAGAGGAGCTTCATGGATGTTGTGGAGCTCTTCCCAGCCTGTAGGCCTAGCTTTTTACTGGGAAAAGCAGGGTGTGGGGAGCAAACAGGGAGCTACGCACCCATATCTTGTCCAATGTACATGTTCACTCAGTACAGGGACTCCACTAGGCAGAGCTACACACTCTATAAATGTTCCCACTCCACCTCTAGATGACCAAATATTCTGGAGTCAACAGTCCAAACAGGAAGAAGATTCCCTATATTGGTATCGGGCTCCATCTGTTGATGTGGAATTGACATCTAGTATCCTCATGGCTCACCTTACGAAGTCAAGTTTGTCTTCAGATGAAATCAGAAAGGCATCTCAGATTGTGTCTTGGCTCACCAAGCAGCAAAACCCATATGGAGGCTTTGCTTCTACCCAGGTAATCCCCTTGTGCCATTATCATCAGAGATGATGCTATGTTTTTTGAGAGCAATGGGTTTTAACACCCCATAGTAAAAAAAAAAAAAAAAAGAGTACATAAAAAAAAAGTATTGATTTACTGCTCTTGGGAATTGGGAAAAGGTGAATATTTGTATTCATCTGTGGTAATCTCATGCTAAAACTCCAAGGGGAAAGCTGAACCATTATTATGGCCTCACTGCAGTCTGAGGGCAGGAAAGGCGAAGGACTGGACTGGCATAGGAAGAAGGAATCCTACTTTTCCCAGTGTTTATCTCTTTCCTCAGGACACCGTGGTTGCTCTGGAAGCCCTAGCCCTGTATGCAACCAGCATCTTCAGCAAGGACCGTCCTGATCTTCAGGTTTCTCTCACTTCTAAGGGGTTCAGCCAAGACTTCCAAGTAGACAGTAGCAATCGCCTCCTGCTACAGACAGTGGAGCTGCCAGTCATTCCCCAAGATTATACTGTGCGTGTGCAGGGCCATGGGTGTCTCTTCCTGCAGGTAAGCCCAGACAGAAATGAAAAATCTGTCTGGGGAAAAGCCTTGAACACCAGAGGATTTCTTACCTTGCTACTTAGCCAACACTGAAAGCAAACTGCTGCAGTAACTTGCTTAGAATCTGGGCTTCAGGGCTGGTGGGAGTAGCTGTGATCCAACAGGAAGGGAACAGCAACTCCCCAAATGAAATTTGGATCATCTCCACCCAGTCAGAGCAGCTCCTCTCCTCCAAGAAGTCCAGTGAACACCACCAGGAGCACTGGTGTTCCTCCGCTTCTGCCACATAGTTTTGTCTTACACCAGTGCAAGACAGCAAACGACAGCCAAAGCTAGACAAGGATACTCTCCATTAAAAAAAATCCCTGCTATCCTCTGCCAACTAGCTTCTTTCTGTCCTGGCAGGCCATTCTGCGGTACCACACCCCTCCACTGAGGAGTGAAGCCACCTTTGCCGTGTCTGTGCAGACAGAATGCACCGCACCCAATGCTGCCCAGTTCCCTGTCACCATCCATGCTCGGTAGGAGACTTTAAGTTGCCCCTTTCCTCCCTGTCTAGGAGGCTTCTTGCACTACACCAGTCTCTTGACAGAAGGGTTCCTCTTCACTCCTGAGGTCCAAGTGCTAAGATATCCCCATTTATTTAACTGTGCTCTCCTAAGCTAGGTGAAAGGTACAAGGCCCCAGAGGGATGGCTCAGGCTATAGTCCTATCTTGTTATCATGCCAGTGACCACAAGTTCTCCCACAGTCTATGGGTCTCACCACCTTCTAGGGTTAGGTCTCAAAACACTAGTGATGTAAAGGTCTTGTGGGACTGACACATATTCCTAAGTTTTCCCTTCTCTGCTCCTGGTTGACTGTCACACCACTCTCCTCTGCTGTACTCCTGCCTGACTTGGAACAGAACTGCCAAGATAACAGGTGGAGAATGTGATATTCCCTGCTATGCCTAAAGAAGGTAACTCCAGAAGGCTTCCAAGGAATTTATTCTCCTTGGCTCAGCACAATTAAAAGAGAGATGAAGGGAGGCACAAAGATTTATTACAGTACAGAAACAAGTATGCTTATAGGAGAAACACTGGAAAGAAAAGCAGATTCCTCCACCTAAGTACCAAAGCTGGGCTGGAGTATCTGGAGATCATGGCTCAGAAAGTAACATTAGTGCTGTCGCTGGGTTCCTGCTGCAGCTACACAGGGAACCGTGTGTCCACCAACATGGTCCTGATCCAAGTGGAGCTGCTGTCTGGATACAGCCCCGTGGCAGGTTCACTGGAAGAGGTGAGACCATGAATTTGCGTCCAGCCGGGATGGGAACAGTGATGGATGTCCATCATGCAGGATTGTACACAGAACTGTAATAATTTCTGTGGGTAGAGAAACATGTTATTTTCTTCCTAAGAAATACTTACACCCAGTCTCTTCGAGTCTGCACCTTGCCTTCCCCTGCTTCAAGGGTTTCCTTGGCCATATGTTTATTTTGCCCATATTCTCAGAAGTACAAGTATCCCTGAATATTTCTGCTTTCTATTAAAGCCTTTCTGACATTTTTCCCCTATTTTCAGCTAAAGAAAATGCCTTTAGTGAAGAAAGTTGAAAGCAAAGCTGACCAAGTTGTTCTCTACCTGGAAGAAGTGAGTGTAATTTGGGCTAATATCAACATTAAAAGGGCTATGGAGTGGCAGATAGCATTTAGCTTACTCTTGTATATTGGTTTCATTAGTATTTTAAGTATGCAGAGCTGTTTTTCCTGCACAGCAGCCACATTTGCTAATCTGGAGAAGTATGTTGTGTCAGTCTGCAGTAGTTCAGCTGTAGAGCCACTTACAGGGGCACTTAATCTGAGTGTAAGGAGGCCAACTGATGTTAAGCCTACATCTGTTGGTACTGTTCAGGGACTGTTGAAAGTCCATATGTAGTGCCTGATCAGGACTGGGGAGTAGTAGTAGATCCATCTAGTAAATCCAAGCAAGCCTGAATTCTTAGAAAGCTCTCAAACAGCCTGAACATAGTAGGGAGCATGCAAGATTGCTTACGGGTTTTGCCAAGATCACTCAAAATTAAGACAGAGCTGAAGTGACTGTGTATGAAAAAGTAGCCAAGAAACTCTGTGGGCTTGATGTCTCTCATGAGCTGAGTTAAATTTGGTGACCAAAAATGGTAGATGGTCACATCATGGAAAGTAAAAGTTATTTCTGAGAACGACTAGAAAGCAGAACAGATCTGTTACAGTAGTGAGGTCTCCAGGGAGCCTGAGTGTGAGCAGATGGAAGGTATTGTCTTACAGGACTTTGATTCTGTCTTTAATCCTTGCATTTCCTGGTCTTAGCTGACTAGACAGCCTCAAACCTACACTTTCCTGCTGGAGCAGGACATACAAGTGAAGGATCATAAGCCAGCTAATATCAAGGTCTACGATTACTACATGCCAGGTGAGCTCAGATGCTGTACTGCAGAAACCTCCCAATGAACTACTGGAAGGAAATTTTCTGATTTTGTCGAGCCTAAGACCATACCACCCCTGACATGGTTATCTAACTGCGCCTTAGAAGCTTTCTAGTGATGAACTTACCCTCTCAGGTTTCAAAACAGTAGATCCTTCTCTCTCTGGTCCCAGAACTTGCAAGCCTGAAGTTGGCACGTAAAACCACTCAGGGTCTAGCTCTCCCAATAAGAGAGGAGCAAGGAGCCATGCTTTTGAACACTCCTTTTGTGGGAGGTAGCAAAGGCAGAAGGACCACAGTTGAGGGGAGGGTTCACAAAAGTAAGGGCCTGTTTAGAAGAATACCAAAACTAACTTGTCCTCTGTTCTGTGTGGTCCCTAGTAGGAGGAAAAGCTAGAAATGTGTCAGATTGCTATTGCTTCAGAAAGTGAGGAATTCATAACTGTAATGGAGCTCCTTGGGACTTACAGCCTCAAAAGATCATATACCCCATGACTTGGGTGAATCCAGACTAACTGCACAGAGTCTTTGGCACATACCAGTGGTTTCATGTGTCACAGCAGGGAGAAGTCACAGCCTGTAAGCTGAGGGAATGCCTGTTATAGGAACAGTGGCACAATGCTGAACTACTTTACTGAGTTTTTGGCAAGTATCTCACCAACACTTTTTTCTTGTCTTCCAGAAGAAACTGCAGTGGTGAGCTACAGTGTCCCATGCAAGTGAGGTGAGGGTCCAACACCTCTTTTTTCATCACAGGTATGGGCCTGAAGAATATGGTAAGGGAGGGAGGTGCAGGCAAAGGCCTTTGGTCTAGAAACTGGGTAGGAAGAGATTAGCAATGTCAAGTAAGGGTGAGTTCCTGTATCCCAGTGGTTAAACTGAGGGAAAGGGAGAACTGAAGTAGAAGATTTGATGTGCCCAGCTCATGACAGAGTTGGGGATATGTTACAGAAAACAAGGGCTGTTTATCCCAAGTACTATTACCAGTCCTGGCATTTTGCATAATATATACTTTTGTCAAGTTTCTTTTCCTGGCACTTTCCCTGCAGTTTCACAGCCCTCCAGCCAATGGTGTGTGCACACAACACACCATGTTCACCTTTACTGCAGGGCCTGGATCCATTTCAGTGCCAAGCCTTCCTCCATTTCAGCCCAGCTTCTGATCCACACTGAGGAATAGGCACCTGCCCATCCTTTTTCCAGCTGGGCAAACACAAAACTTGAACTTTACGAGTGCCTGACCCTGTTCTAAACTTCCAGCTTGCACTGTGTGCTTTCATGCCCACAGCCCACAAGATGCAGAAAACCTGCTTCATGAATCATCTGTAGGGAAGCACACAACCCTATGCTGGGATGCTTGCCGCAAGTCCCACACTCTCAGTGGATATTCTGACATAAACTTTGTATAGATAGAGAGAGAATCATAAAATCATACAATATCCTGAGTAGGAAGGAACCCACAAGGATCATCAAGTCCAGCTCCTGTGCCTGCACAGGGCAGTCCCAAGAATCACACCATGTGCCTGAGATCATATCCAAAGCACTTCTTGAACTCTGTCAGACTTGGTGCTGCGACCACGTCCCTGTTCAGTGTCTGACTACCCTCTGGGTGAAGAGAGCCCTGTCCTGGATGGTCTGACAGTACTGTTTGGTCATGGGGTGCAAAAAGGTCCCTGAGTTCCCAGTGGTTATTTTTAATACTTCAGCAACACAGATTATTGTTTTGTGTTATTGTCCTTTGTTGTCCTTGCAGGAACAGGGACTGAGCCATTCTCTGCAGTCTCTGTCCGTAAGTCCTTTGTCAACCCTGCCAACCGCCATCACAAGAGAAGCTACCACCACAAGATAAACTACCAGAAACCACCACCATAAGAGAAAATACCTGAAATTTCCTTCTGAGCAGTTAGTTTCTGAAAGGCTCAGACTGTGCTTGGCATATTAATTAAAAGCAGAAGACTAGAACTGTCGAATTGAGTTATTATTCAGGTTTACTGTTTTTCTCACAAACCAGAAAAATTGCATTGCACCTGGGAAAAATAACTTCTGCACCTTTGCTCTATGTGTGCATGTATATGTACAAAACTCTGCCCCTCCAGTTGCAGACTTGTACAGGAAGAGGTAGAACATGCTTCAAAGAAGAACTGATGGCACAGGAGCTTGCAGGAAGGGCACAGGAGATACAGCTGTCACAGCATGTTCACTTATATCTTGTTCTCCAAAGCTTCTGGAGTCCTACTATGGGAAGTATTAGGAGAAACCATAGGAAGTATGAGGAGAAACCAATAGAGGAGCTAGAAGGTTTGCATCCTGGCAATGGCAGATATGGTGTCTTCATGGGCTAAGCCTGTAGTTCATCAACAACTGACACAATGGTGACAAGATCAGGGGTCATGTTTTAATTCCTCTTCCTAGATGTGTACCAAATGTGTGATACACACACACACACCCTCCCACCCCAACTAAGGCCAGTTGCTGGCATGCTGTGATCCCCAAGTCCATCCACTCAGGTACAGGACCACATGGGCTCAACTTAAATATGAGCTGTGTCCTAGCTGGGGCACTTCCATTCAGTGCCCAACCTGAAATACTGGGCAAAGGCAGGAGTCATGATATAGCAGTTCCTCTCCTTTCCTTTATCACAAATTTAGGCACTTGTCTACCCCTTTCTGAGGAACCATGTATGACTGTGTGGACAGAAGGTAAGGCAAACAAGGATGACATGATCCAGTCCCTCCATGGCTATCATCAGTCTGTAGAAGATGCTTGTCTTAGCTAGTAGCAGGAAGGGCTCTTGAGGCAGGTCCCTAGGCAGCACTCTCTGTAGGATGGTATTAGGAAGCAGCATGTACCATCACCATGTCAAGGTTCTGTCTTATCCTTGCTGAAAGGACTTTTCCAGACCTGTTCTGGTTTCAGGCTACTTACTATTAACTAGCAATCCTCCTTCAGACCACTGGGTATATCACCCCACAAGACAAAATATTAGATCTTCCCAGCTTCAGCTTGCTGAATCCTGCTTTCCTACCCTGCAATGTGGGGTGCAGGGAATGAAGCTGTGTCTGTGTCAGAGGGGCACTTGTTAGTACAGGTTGCTATAGCTCTGCATTCTCACCCCATGTATTGCTCAGCCCTTCCTTCTGCACTCTAAGAGACGCTCTCCCTGTCTCCACCTTCCACCAGAGCCTTCCAGCTGCCTCCCTGGCTACAAAATTGTCCTTGCCCCACACACCTAGACACAGACAGTTCCAATTCTAGCTGGATATACGCACCCCACTCTTTCTTCTTCCCCTCTTTGCTTACATTCCCTTTCTCCCACCCAAGACCCAGCATTTCCTGTTGTCACGGTTTGTGTCACGCAGGAATTTGCTGCCTACCTCAACTACAAACAGCATTGTAGTCAGCCAAGGCTCGCTCCTCTGCAAAAGGAAATGAGGAATTTGATTACACACACATGCACACAGAGAAGATGGCATGTCTCTTTCCAGCTAGAGAGCTAGGAACCTGGCACCCAACACCAGAGTAGGAGGTAATCTGCAACCCACCTGGCTGGTAGTAATCATAGATTTTGATGCTGGCTGCTTTCAGGTTCTTCATCTGAATCACTTGCTCCAGTTGCAGAATGAAAGTCTGAGATTCATCGTTGAGCTAGTGGAGATGGAAAGGAAGAGCAAGAAGCAAGGAAAGGGAGAAAGAAAGAAGTCATTGCATCATCATCTTCCCTGGTTTTAATGTTTTCCTGCACTACATCTTTCTAATTCATTAGAGACACTGGATTTTAAGATTGGAGTATTATGTGAGAAATAGCACAAGGTAACCAAATGACAATGAAATTGGGCAAGCTTCTTCTGCCCACAGTTCTACCAATGCTCTTTCCTTGCCTAGACCAGCTTTGGGCTTCTCACACAGCTCCTTGTCCTCTGGTCTCTCACTCTTACTGTGCCAAACCAAATGCCTTTGTTCTCGCTTACCTTCTCCAGATAAATGTAGATCACATTAGCTTCCACTTCTATTTTCTTAACGATGGTTCTATTCTCCAGCTGGGATAGGAAATAATAATGCAAGGAAATTCATGAGCACTTTCCTTAGGGCTTCCTGACCTGAGGGACCCACTGTTGTACTGAAGGGATGGTGTAGAGCTGGACTCTGTGTGGAACTGTCTTTCTCACACATAAGGGCTTTAGTGGTGAAATTTTTGCTAGTCCCTGGACACCCCTTGTGAGCATCTCAGGTATGAACTATGCTGCTGCTGCTCAGTTAGAAGTATCTCCCCCTCTGGGGACAAAAGGCTATGTGGATAGTACGTATGACTGATGTGTTGGTCAGCAAACAGGTGCAGGCACCAGAAAAGATTCTTTTCTTATCTCACTGGGTGTTAGACTGCACTTAAAGACCTGCATGGGGGCTGTGCAAATAATTTGTCTTTCAGTTTTATGGTTTAATTGGAAAGAAAATATCTTTGTCTAGGGCTAGAGTTCCTGGCCTAAGTCAGAATAGTGTCAGTGGGAGAAGCTGAACCACCTTCAATCTCTCTTGTGAAGCCTGTAGGAAAACAAGAGGGTTTGGTACAACTACAACAGCAAAGTTTCCTTGCAAATTGCATTACCTCATGGCCTGAAATGAACAGTTTCCAATGGGAGTAAGCAGTCAGGATCCATTTACCACAGCTGGGGTTTCTTATATTCCAAAGTCCTTACCAATGTCCTGGATCTGGGAGCCAGGACAAATCCAGACAGCAGGGAGACCTCTATGATCACCATGTTGGATGTGACTCTGCTCCCAATGTAGCTGGAGAAGAAGAATCAGACAGAGGGTCTGACTCTCTGAAAATAGTGCCTTCCCAGCCCCTCTTCCCTAAAGCCCCATTCCCTGTGTGCAGGACCCTGATCCAGGTAGCCTATCAGGGACTGGGGACATGACAGCCACTGCTCCTTCTCACAAGAGAGAGTCACCACCTTCCTTCCCCACACCTTCCATCTGCCCAATTCACCCTCTGTCCTGTATGCCCCATGTTCTGGGTCCTTCCATTGGAGCCCTGAGACTCTGCCAGCTGCTGTCCCCAAGCACAATACATCTTGCTGGAAGAGGAAACAGCCCTTGAGTTCACCTGGCAAGGATGCGGATGGTGAGGACACGTGGATTGGCCTGGCTACAGTTGGCCAGCTCTGTGTTGATGCGCAGAGTGAAGACCACAGCAGTCCATGGGGAAGGCTCATGGTACCTCAGCACTGTCTGCAGGACAAGCACCAGCAGTGGAAAAGACAGTCCAGGCATGATTTCATGCAGGAGAAAAGAGGCAGAGTCTTCCTCCCTCCACACTCATCCCACCATCTCACCTGAGCAAAGATGCAGCTGCTGCCATGGACCTGCACCAGGAACTGCCCCGAGGTCTCTGTCAGTGCTGCCTGCTGCACCAGCAGCCGCTTCTGGCGGTTGACTTGGAAAGCCTTCCCAAAGCCCCTCTGGGGCTTCACCCGCACAATTGCCTGGCCTGATGTGCTGAATGTTCTTGCTGCGTATTTTGCTAAGGCTTGCAAGGCAACAACTGTGTCCTAGAGAGGGAGAGACAGTCACGTCTCTGAAAGCATCAGCTCTAGTGAAACTGACTTGGAGCAGGAAGACCTCAAGAGGACTCCCCCTACCAAACTTGGGTACAAAAGTGTATCAATCCACAAGGAGCTACTCGTTACCTGAGTGGAGGCAAAGCCCCCGTAAACATTTTGCTGCCGTGTCAGCCATGCCACAATACCGGCTGCAGTTGTCATGTCACCTGCATGCACCCGTGGCTTAGAGAGGTATGCCAGGAGGATATAGGCTGTCAACTCTATGTCCACTGACTGAGTACCAGGCCAGAAATCTGTGGAAGCTGGAGAGGTTGGCTTGGGACTCCAATGGATTTGTCCTCCTGTAGAAAGAAAAGGAGAATGAAGGCTATTTGGGGAGGACATAACTGGAGGTTCACAGGAAACAAAACCCATAGTGCTTTCAGGGTTCTTTCAACTCATCCCTGTACTCAGGCCAGGATCGCTTTTTTCGCAGAATCAGTGAGGTTGTACCTCTACGATCAAGTCCAACCTATGACCACCATGTCAACTAAACCATGGTACTAAGTGCCACGTCCAGTCTTTCCTGAAACACCTCCAGGGACAGTGACTCCACCACCTCTCTAGGCAGTCCATTTCAATGTCTAGTAACCTTTTCTGTGAAGAAATTCCTCCTAATGTCCAACCTAAATCTCTTCTGGTGCAGCTTAAGACTATGCCTCTCGTCCTGTTGCTAGTTGCCTGGGAGAAGAGGCCAGCCCCCACCTGGCTACAACCACCTTTCAGGTCGTTGTAGAGTGATAAGGCCACCCCTGAGCCTGCTCTTCTTCAGGCTAAACACCCACAGTTCCCTCAGCCTCTCCTCATAGGACTTGTGCTCCACACCCTTCACCAGCCTCATTGCCCTTCTCCGGAATCTTCAGTTTATTCTCCAGGGCTTCATCTTGTCTCAGCTAACAGGTTCCTCCATCCTTCCTCAAAGGGATCTTGAAATCCTCCAGGCTGAGGAAAATGTTTCTTATAAGTCACCCTCACAGCTTGTGACATAATTTATTGCATTTTCAGTCACACAATGCAGTCACTGCACAAATACGAGGAATATGTACAAATACATATGCCACTTTTTACTGCTCTAGTTGGTCATACACTAGTCCAGATCCCATCAGTCAGCACCTGATTTGATGGCCTGTTCCTCCAGTTTGTACAGCAGCTCCTGGGTTGTCTCATAGTCCCCAGCCAGGGCAAAAGCATAGGCCAGCATGGCTTCTGTGTAGATGTTGGTGGTGTTGTGAACCATCTGCTGCAGACAGCGGAGAGTAGTCTGCATCAGCTTGCCCTGCATTGGGAGGAGATACATGCCAGACTCTGAGGGGGTAAAACAGGGGGAGGGGAACTCATTCCAGGGAGCCGCACTACGTCTTCCTGATATAGCTCCAGAGAAACCCATTAAATTACACACTCTCTTCAGAAAACAGTTAATGCGGCCCCAATGTGCACTGGGAGCCACAGCCACCAAACACTATTGCACCATGCCAGTTTTACAGCACTGACTCTTTTGATGAATGACTTCACCATCTGACTAAACTTTGGTTCCCTCCTAGAAGCTCCCTCCCTGTTCCTAGTCTGGAAAATGCCAGCATTACCAGCTGATGTATGTCCACAGTAATAACCAGGCATGGGAGCATACAGGAGAGCAGGTGAGATTGTGAGCATGCTCACCGTCAGTGGCTGACCCATCTCCAGCAGCGCTGCAGCAACATACGCCCCCAGGGAGATTTCGTCATCCACACTGCCCTGTGAAGGGAACGCATCTTTCACTCTCTAATTGATGTCAGGAGTATGCAGGCAGTGACATTGCCCAGAAGGAAGAGCATTCCTCTCATGTTTCCCACTCCATACCCTACTCTCTTTCAGGCTGATTGCACAGGGTGCAGATAGACTTTCTAGGATCCTTTGAGATTCCACAATACTTTGATGTCGTAACATCTGTCCAGCTATTTCACAGCAGTGCTACCTGGCTTGGCCCTCATTTACCTTTAGGGAGGAGTGGAAAAAGCTCCCTTTGGTGGCAAAGCAGCCACTGGGGAGCTGGTTTCGCTCTAGCCAGCGTAGGGCATCCTGGATGTTCTTATCATCTACATAGATGTATTTTCTGGCTTGGCCAAAACTCTTGACTACAAAAGCTGTCAACCTAGGAAGAGGATGAGTTGTGAAAAAAAGAGACAAACACAAAAAAAGGTAAAAAGAAAGTCAGAGGTCCCCTGCTGCTTGTTCCTGAAGTTAACACTGACATTGTGGGATGCCAAAAGAGAGTTATTTTTGTATATAAAGGCAACCTGAAAGTTGAAATGGTCCACATTTGTGGTTGAAATGGTCCACAGAAGTGGCTCTTCTCCATTACCCTGGATCTACAAGTATACTATGTATGTACTACTTACTGCTTTACTTGGTCATTTCACAAATAAAAATCCTACTTCTGCTTGCCCCCAAATACTTCATTGCCCCCAAATACCTAGAGACAATCATGAATTCACCATTTTCTTCCTCCCTTCCTTTCTCTATTCATCCCATCTTAGACACTACAGGGACAAGCTGTGCCATGGGAGGTCTTTCAAATTCTCCCAAGCAACACCTTCCCTGAGGAGAGGATTTTATTGCTGTTCCCTGATCTACCTCCAGTCATATGTACCCCTCTTGGTTGCCAAGCCACCAGCAGCAGTACCTGCTGTTGTCTGTGGGGCAACAGCAAGGCCATAGAGACAAAAAGGGACCTCTCATCCCCTGGGACCGGATCTTTGTTGTTCCACTTTCCCAAAATCTCTGCTGCCCTGCCTCACTGCGTTTTCAAGTGGCTCAAGTGCCTCAATCTGTCTCCCTGCCAGAGAGTTCCTCCTGTCTCCATCCAAAAGAAGGACCACACATCCTATCAGCTTTCCCAGGCACATTTGCTGCTCTGCCCCAGACAGGAAAAAATCAGGAGTGAGGGATATTTGCAGTGCTTACCAAGTGTTTCCTTCCCCATCCTGCTGTCCAAAGAAACTATAGGACCCATCCCTGTGCCTATAAAGAAGCTGTGTCTGATATCCTGGAGAGATGGGAAGAGTGATTAATATGACACAGTAACACAGAGGGGACAACACTGACAGAGTGAGTACAAGGAGCTATTGGGAGGCTGGACACTGGGGAAGGCTGAGAGGCAAGGTGGGTCTGTTGTACTTGCCATTGCGCAGGAATCCTGTTGCCCTCTCCTTGATCTCAGGGGTCAGTTGCCTTGTCTTCTCCAGGTACTGCAGCACATAGACAATGGGGGCAAACAGCACCATGTTCTGCTCCCCACAGCCATGGGGCATCTGCACCAAGTGATCCAGGTTCTGCAGTGCCATCCCCATGAGGTCACCTATGCAAGGGTGTAAGAAACAAAGTACAGGTGTGATTTCAGGCACTTCTTCAGCCAGGCAGTGATTAACAGTGCATGATCTCAGCACAGGAGGAAAACACTGGAGAAAGAAGGAAAGAGGAGTAAACAACAGTGTAAGATGGAGAGTGGCTGTTTTGCTTCTTCCCAGTCTGTCATTGTGATGTAGGGTGACTACACTATGAAGACCCTGAAGAACTTTCCCTTATCAGCTTTTGCAGTCTGAAGAGCTCCGATCATAACAAGTACTATTTGTAAAGGGCTATGAGCAGAGCTGGGCTGCTGAGTGTGTGTTATACAGACAGACAAATATAATTGCACTTAGGGAAAGGTTGAAAGGCTACTGGTCTTTAGCCAGGCCTGTTCTACCTGGCCATATGTCAAGCATCAAAATGTCAGGAAGCCAGCAGGTGTGCTGGTCAGGTAGTGTGAAGGTGTCCATATGTCCTCCAGCCAGTCAGAAAATCCTTGTATTCAGTTTCCTGCTTTGGAGTTCTGTTGCACAACATTCATGGCTACTTGTGCCAGGCCTGGGTTCATACCAATTCTGGTCTGGGGGTAAATGAGCCCAGTGCAAAGAGGTGTATTGAATGGTAGGCATGTCTGGTCCCTGTAGCCTCTACAGGGTGTTCTTTTGCAATTTAGTAATGCTGAGAAAGATTTCTTCTCTCTCGGAGCTTCTGCTGTAGCAGTGAATTTTAATGTGGAAGCAAGATGGTTATGACCTTTGCTGATTGTATCTACAGAGAACTAGCTAAGGTCCCAAAGTCTCAATAAAAATAATGGCTCAGAGTCTTTACTTCAAAGTCCCAGCTAGAAAAAGAAGGATTATTCTCCTCTGCAGATTCCTCTTCCCATGAAATCTTAAGTGCTAATCCAGAAATCCAAAAGCCTGGTGTTTGCAAACCTTGCAGAGAACAGAAACACAGCATCCTCTCTTTTGAGCAGCTTCATGTCAAATGGCGCCTCTGACACCATTACCAAGTTAAGTCCTGTTTATCAATAACAGCAGTCTGAGTCTACAACAGAAGACATTTACCTGAGATGAAAATGGAAGCCCTGGCAGATCTCTTTACTACATTATCAGGGAGGCGAAGGGACACAGGTTCTTCAGCCATGTTTCCTGATAGCAACAGAATAAAAGACGTAGCATAAAAAAATCAAGCCAAAAGCTTCTAACTGTATGGACAAGACTGGCATGGGTAAATGGGACACTGCCTACATCCTGCTTACACAGGCTGTTCCCTACAGTTTGTCCCAGTCATCATACTAAGCTCCATTGCCTGGAAACTTTTCCGATTAGGGCAGATGTTAGAGCTGCTGGTTGGGCTAAGGGCTCAGCAAGCTTTACATCTCAATTCACTATGCTTCACAAGCTTCACAAGAATCACAGCTGGTCACCGCTCAACAGAGGGACATCCTGGAGAGACTCGTAATGCTACAGGGACAGGGTGGGAGGGTTGGAGCAGGTCTCACTGGTGACTATCAAGCTCTATGAACATCTGGGGGCTGCAGTGTAGGAAGAACAGAACAGGATTTTGCCACCTATACTCAGTGGCAAATTCAGTAGGACACCACATGTGGAAGTAATATTTCTTGTTCTTTCCTGTCTAATAGGAAAAATCTATGTGAAAAATCATTTGAAAACATTATTTCATGAGACCTCCCACAGTTTAGTTCTAGTCTCAGGTCTAGTTATTTCAGGCTGCAGAACCCATTCAGGCTGTCCACATACCTTGTCTCAGGCACATACCTCCTCTTGGGCACAGAAGGGAGCTGTGAGACTTCTCCACTAACACACCTTCTGGCTGCCAAGGGATAGGAAAAACAAGAATACACATAACATTCCCAAACAGCAGCAAAATTTCAGAGCAAGTTCAGGTTTGAATTCAGTGCTTAGTCCCCAGGTTGTCAGGGCCTCCATTCTTCTCACATTTGGCTGGTCTGCACTAAGTCTGCTGCTTCACTGCTCAAGAATGCAGGGGGAGGGACAGGGCTCTCTGGTCAGTGAGCATATACAAAAGCACATGTACAGGGAAGGGTACAGGGAGAAACAGACATATGTGAATGCAGCTCAAGAAAGGTTGCCACAAGAAGGGAATAGGCTTGACTAGGTCCTGGGAAGAACAAAGTGAACTAAGACACAACTTTGGTATGCTATTGCTGGCCAAAAATCGAGGAGAGAAAACCATCTAACCTACCTTAGCCTGCCCTCCCCCAGAGGCAGGGATACTTGGAGATAGAAGCAAGCCTGTTCTCATACTCACCTGGACCAGCAAGTGTTTGATCAGCGTGTGCCTCCATCTCATGGTAGCTGGCAAGGGCTTCCTCCCTCCACACCATGGTGTTGTGTCCAGAACCTCTATCCTCACTGTGATATTCAGAGTCCCTAGCAAATAAATACAAAAGAGTCTTCTTCTTATACTGTGGCAAATTGGAGTCAGCTTGCTTCAACTGATAGTGGTTTGAGATGCTTCAGGGGGTTGGTCTTCATAGCCTCAGCAGTTTGGCTGGTAAAGGTGAGCCAGCTAGTACTGACAGCTTGTTCAGACACCCTGAGCATGAGGGAACTCGATAATGCCTCACCAACAGTGACTTCATTGCACTGCAATATGACTGTAGTAACAGAAGGTCAGGCAGCCCTTTCAACCCCAGTGTAGCCTTCCCACTGCATATAAAGCACAAGACCAGCAATACAAGATTCCCCCACCAATATCCATGCAGCCTCTTCCTCCCCAGCTGGTCCCACAGCCCTCTCCAGTTTTCCATGCCACCCTTTCAGTTCCTGCCCTCTCTGATGAGTCTGTCTAAGAAGAGAGAAAGAAAGCAGACACAATGGATTGTGTGTCTGAACCACTAAGGACAAACTTCAGGATCCAGAGGAGGCAAGGCTCCTCCAGCTTCTCTGAACCTCCCGCTCCCTTTCACTTGTTTTAGGGTTCCCCATCACTGCTCCCTTTTAGCTGCCATACCCAGTTGGACTGCTGTCACATTCCACATGAAGGTCTTGGACTCCTCTGCACAGAGACATTCTCTGTCCCTGCAAGTCCGACACGGCTCCACCTGGAAGTCTGAGGATTTAGCTAGGGCCACACTGATCTGAAGGAATGGCAGATACAGGTGAGTGACCAGGCAACTCAGGTAAGATAGCTTGGCACAATGCACTTTAAAATTGGAGGACATGGTAGGTCTGTCCCACACAGTGTTACCTGTGGCACAGGCACACACCTGTATGCACTGCTGTAGGTAGTTGAAGACTGTAGTTTTCATCAGGAAAGTCTCTCCATGGATGACAGAATACGGCAGCGTCATGTCCACAAAGACGGGTTGGACTGTTCTGAGGCTTGTGGTTGGAGCAAGGCCAAATCCCTTTCCAGCCAAGCAGAATGTCTTGACTTTCCACTCTGCTTTTTTTTTTTCCTGCTGCCATTGGAGCTGAGAGGAAGAGAGCACTTGCATGAAGAAATTCATCCCACTCTTCTGCAGTGAGGCCATGGAGGAGTGATGGCCATGGTCAGGGAGGTTATGCAGGTCCTCATGCTTGGTTCAACCTCTGCTATATTACCAATTACTTTTGCTACAGTGGCTCACAGCAAGGCAGGTCAGCAAATTCTTCACTGAAGCCATAAACCCTGCTTAAATGCCATCAGTAATGGCTTTATACCCTTCTCCTCAGCAAGACACTGCCCAAGCATTCCAGTTCTGTACATTCATTTAGTGTTCTGGAAAAGCAGCAGTACCATATCCTCCTGCATGCCAATTCACCAGTCTTAACTATGTCAACAAGGGCTACAAATGTAGCTGGCGCACCCACCAAAGGGTGAAGTTAGTAGAGTGTACCACAGTGCATGGTGGTTCAGCCTTGAAGTGTATTGCTCTTCTCTAAATCTGTGTATACTTCAGTTCTCCACTTCAAAGTCTACTAGTTCTTCAGTTTGACACACTATAAATGCAGGGTAGAGACACAAAATCCAAATGCAGAGCCCTGTTTACACCTGTGGCTGGACTTCTGCACAAATGCAAGTCAGCCAAGGCTCACTAACTAAGGGGTTATCTTGCTGTTCCTTTGTAAAGTCACTTACCCAACAGAGAACAGATTCCAGATCCAAGTTTTGGGAAAATCGTGATGAAGTCTTCCATGGGTTGTAAATCGGGGTTGTTCCTTAGTGATTCTTTGGTCTTCTGTAGAAAGCACCCCTGAAAGAAAGAGAGGTGAACCTTACCAATGATAGACAGCTTAGCACTGGGGCAAGAGACAAAGCAAGCAATAAGAAAGATATGAGAAGGGTTTGGGTGGGGAAAGCACAAAGAAGTGGGGTGATTTCACGGGAGAGAGAAAAAATGAAGGGAAAAGAGAGTGGTAACAGGAGAACCAGCTTGTAGTTCAAAGTTTTACAAGATTTGGTTAGACAAAGCCCTGACTGACCTGATGCAGAGTTAACGCTTAAGAGAATAGAAACCTTTAGGGAGGCATTTTAACCAACATGTCTGTAATTCTGTGAATAACAATACTGTTTGCTTGTCTGAAGAAAACTCACAGCCCACTGCAAGCAATGCTTTACATATAGGCAGGCATGTTAGCCAGCTTAGTATGGTTATCAAGTGCAAAATGAGACACAGAGGAAAAATGTGACTGTCCCTGCAGCCACAGGAAGAAGCCAGGTCTCAGTACTGCCTGTGGGGTAGTCATTGGGAAACAGATCCTGGTCCACGCCTGGGTTTGTCCGTGTCAGGAAAAGGAGTGCCATCCTTTAATATCAGGTAAAATCCAGGTAGTGACATCCTTCAGAGCCTTTTTTATAGAGACTGGATCACTTCTACTGAGTCTGGTGGACTGGGCAGCTAGACTGTGGCAGCAGCACCTCTTACTCCACAGAGAGACAATATCCACTATCAGCAAATCCCAAAAATCAGAGGACTCTGCCCTCTGATGTGATCTCATATTCCAGGAAGGTAGAAAGTGCAGCTCACCCATGATTAGGTTCCTATCCGTCTGATGAAAGCACTGGGCTGGCCTCTTGATTGCAAGGTTTGAGAAGACTTTCAGTCCCATGTTCTATTAAAAAGAAAGAGGGCAGAGAAGGCAGAAAAGTGTCTGTGAGTGGGGAAGAGTGGCTACTGCACTTCAAAATTACTCTGACAAGCCATTGGGGTCAGGACAACCCAGTGCCTAGGCAGCCCAGAGCTGCACTGGCCCAAGCAGACACAGTGCTGAGGGAGGCATGGCACAGCCTCCCCAGTCCCTTCTTTCTCATACGATCACTAAACTACCACTTCTCTTCTGGGAGACCCTGGGATGTCTTGCACCTCTCCATGCATTTCCAGTGGCAAGGGCACATAGGAGAGGTGCAGAGGTGTCAGTGTCCTGCCCCATCCCCTCTCACACACTGGAGAGAATAGCTGCATGAAATCTGCTCTCTGAAGTCATACAAAGGTGTGATAGGAAGCACACACCACATTTATCTCCTTGGGCTGAGACCTGAGCCTGACCACAGAGAGAAGAGATGTCCCTAAGCTGTGAAAAGGCCTCCTAGGATATGTCTTCTTGCTAAATAAAAGATGACAGGTTCTGATCCCCAGGTCCGAGGCCAAATGACGCTGCCTCTCTCGTGTCCAAGCTGCTTAAGGCTAGTTCTTTCTAGAAGAGATCTGCCTTAAAGACACCAATAGATCTGTCTGGGAACAGCCCAAAAGAGTGCCAGAAATCAGTCTCACAACTAAGCTATGTCAATGATGTGTGATCTAATGCTTGGGATCACTCCCTAGCTCTCTTTTCTCTAATACTGCAGACAAACAGTACAGGACCTCATTCTCATGCCCCCCAAAAATGGAACTTGCTGGTCCAGGATCTCATCATCTTGCTTTCTGAATCTGTGGAGGGGAATACAGGTGTTCATACTCATAATGGAATTGTACATCTCTTGAGACAACACAGCTAGGTCAGGGCAGAGAGCAGAGTCTGTCTGGAGAAGGCAAGGCCTTCTCAGACTGCTTGGGGAGAAAGATAACTCCGTTGCTCATAGTTGCAACAGCTCTGGGAAAAATCACAAGGTGGATACCCGAAACAGATTAAAGACATCAGGCTGAAAGGAATTCTGTGGCTTCCCTCGTAGCAGAGATGATGTGGACTGAGTCTGAACACAGTGATATGAATGCTCTTCTGCTTGGGCAGGGTATCCACGTTGGTAGGCAGCAGGGAACAAACCATAGACCTAGAGAAACTCATAGGTAGATAAGAATTGGACAAGGAGAAGAAACCTCCAGATGCTTCACTCCACCCTCCCCTAGCATACACATTTGTTCCTGCCCATCCACCTAGGCAGACCCCTCCTTTCTCCTCCACACAAAGACCTCCTCATTCATTGGCCTCCACCTCCCCTTGCTACAACCCCTGCCTGGCTCCCCCAGCTCATCCATCACTCCTGTGATTTTTGTTTGGTTGCACAGACACTCACCATTTGGCTTGTCAGCTCACTCCCGGGTCTGATGAAGAACGTGTTTTCATCCACTGCCTGTACTGCACACAGAGAGCCAGGGGCTGCCTGCAGTAGGAGCTCTACTGTTGACCCTGAGTGGGCTTCTTTATCTGGGAATCCTACCTTGACCTTGAGAAACACACCAGGAAAGGAATGTGAAAAAAAAGAGGGGTAAAGACGCTGACAGGCAGGTGGCACAGATAGAAGGAGGGAGACCAGCTGGAATCTTTCCTGCTCAGCCACTGCTATGAACAGAAGTCACTGCTGAAGCTTTCTTTGTCCCTGGGCACTGTGCTGCAGACATCCCTTTCCCCCCTTCTCCTCAGCTCTCTCTTTGAAGGGTCTGAGGGCTTTCTTCTCTCAGGTCTCCTGACTCTTGCTTGTCAGCTCTCCCCCAGACACAGAATTGAGCCTCACCTGGTTTTGAAAGCACAAGGCAACATCAAAACGGATGCTGTCAGCTGTTACCCCTCCATTGGGGAAGATAGCATACACCACTAAGGAAGGTGATGGGGAGAAGTCAGCTGTGAAGGTCAAAGGGATGGAGAAGGAGCCCTTCAACACTGAGGAAGGAAAGGCAAAATGTTTTCATCACAGCCCCACTGAGTGACCCTTCTGCCCTTCTTATTTTCCACTTTATAACCTCACAATGTCAATTCCTGC